TCCTGCGCTCCGGGACCCAGGCCGGTGGTGAGTAGATGAAATCAAACTCCGAAAAAGCAACCACCGGAGTATACAAGGTCGTGCAGCTCCAAACCAAGGCTGGGGAAGACCGAACAGAACTGTGAAATGAAACAACAAGAAGCGCACCAACCTTGCACATTACCTCAGTAACCAAAATTTATTTAGTAAAAGAATGGTACTCACAAACAGCGAATAAAAACAGGCATGTAAGTCCTCCAAGGGACTTCAAAGGCAAGAGGCCAGTGACCTCTTGGTCATATGGTCATATGACCCTCTGATATTCATATGTAATCTCCCATTGCACCAACCACTGGGAACTTGTGCAAAAAATTCTCACTAGATGGTAACTCGCTCCTTACCACCTTTCCCAATTCTCTTCCTCTAGGTCCTCTTATTGCTGGATTAGTTGTGGCCAAGCTGGCAACCTGTTTCATATTCTTTGGTCCTGCAATAGTATACAAAGCTTTTGGCATGTTCCAGCTCCTCTCCAATATCCTAGAGCATACCATTAGCCCAGACCTGCCACTGGCAATCCTAAACTTAGGAATAGATAATTTTCCAGGTGATTTTCGAAAAATAATGCCCTCTATTTTACTGGCCACTAAGCTCATTAACACAAGACACTGTAAGAAAGAGTTGGCGCCTAACCCATCCAAAGTCATAGCCATTGTCCAGACTCACTACTTCTATGAAAGAATACTAGCTCTTAGATTAACCTCACTCTTATCGTTTGACAAAGCTTGGAAACCATGGCTCAGCTGGTATCACAAATAATCTTCTGATGTAACCTACCATTTGTATGCTGTGCTGCAAGTTATGAAGCCTTGAAGCCTTGATGTACTGATATGTAACCCAGCAAGGCCATTCCCCTTGTTGTTTTCTTTTTTACTTATTTTCCTATTTGGTTTTCTTTTGTTTGCATACATGTATATGCATCTCTTTATGATCTATGTTTACTCTCTCCTTTCTTCTGCAATTGTGGATTTTTGTCATTTAAAAAATCACAATAAAGAAACATTGAAACAAAATCAAAGTGATGTAACATTGTTTTGCTTCTGCTGTATGATGAGACACCTAGCTAATAGGTGGGAAGTTTCACTTACTCGCTTACTGAGCTTCAAAGAGGGCAAATTGTCGGTGCCACTAAGCTGGTGCCTCTGTGACTGAAGTTGCCAAATTATTTGCCGTGTTGCAAGGTACAGTATCAAAGGTTATGGTGGCATACAGTTTCCGGGAAGACATTGTCTCATAAACATAAGCGCAGTTGAAATGGTCAACTGACCTAAAGAGACAAAAGGACATTGTGCAGGATTGTGACCCAGAATAAGAAAACAACTGCTGCAAAATTTACTGTAGAACTCAATCTTAGCCCCCATTTGGACATTGACCATCTATGAACTTTTGGAACATCCCATTCAATAACCATAGGTTTAATCTCCACGAGATTTTGGAGTGTATCTGGGGGTATTTGTGCCCATTTGTGAGGTCAGGTACTGATGTTGAAAGCAAATACTTGGCTCAATATTGGCATTCCAATTCATCCCAATGGCACTGAGTACAGTTGAGATCAGGGCTCCGTGAATGCCTCACAAATTCCTCGACATCAAACTATGGTGTCCGTTTATGACACACAGAATAGCTGCGATTCAACAGATCTCAGCTATTCTCTGGTCATTCACAGTTTATGACACTCAGGAGATCATGTCAGCCCTTCTATGGAGATCTGTGTTCTCCCTCCAGATTCTCCAGCCAAGAGCTGGAGAATCAGAGGGACCGAAAACTAAGCAGAGATAATTTACCTATGTTTAGTAAACTGATCTTTTACTATAATCTCGAGAGATTATAGTAAAATGAGCCGTTTTTCAGAGTTTGTAGACCGTTCTCCAGCGTTTGGAGACCGTTCTCCTTTCGTTTGGAGAACTGCTTCATAAACTGCATTCACAGGAGAACTGTGTTCTCCAAGAATGCCGGAGAACTGAGCAGCGATCTATTACCGCTGGTCCATAAACGGACACCATAGTCTTTATAAAGCTGGTATTCTTCACAAGAGTATAGTCATGCTTGAACAGAAATGGGTCTTCACCAAATTGTTGTCACAAGATTGAAAGCCCACAATTGTCTAAAATGTCTTTGTATGTTACAACATTAACAGTACCCTTCACTGCAAATACTTAAACTCAATCAATTGGTTTTGGAACAGGATGTCCAAGAAACCCAAGTAGGTGCGATAGTCAAGTGTCTACAAACCTTTGGCAATTTAGTGTATATACACTGAGGGTTAGGAAAGGGCCCATGCATTATGCGTACACTTACCCTTCAAACTATAAAACAACTGCTCTGGTTTTTTTTTTGCACTGTATTTATCATTTAATCTGCAAGATCGTCATGTCTTTCCCCATTAGTTTGCATCAAACGTCAAGTCTATGAAGCACCCTCCTAGTGAGGTTTCTGTTAAGTTTAGGCAAATTTAGTTTTTGTCTCGTCATTAGCCGGGGAGCAGGTTGATTGCTTTTGGCTGTGTGGGTTTCACAGGCTGCAGGTTTGATTGCTCCTCCTGCCATTCCAAAACTCTATGGGCAGTTCTAGGACATGGTGTGGAGTACGCAAATAGGCAGCCTGAATAGTTATGCTGTCTCAGGCATCTCAGGCAACCAGCAGGGAACCTAGGGGTGCTTAAATAGAATGTGGCCTAGAACAGCAGAATCCTTCGCCTGGTGGAGAAAGTCTCCTAGTATGGAGTGGCTGTCTGCCTCCTAGGCCATTTAGTTGGATTCTACAAGTGGTTCAATATGGTCCCAGCTCAGGAAGAGTTGGAGGGCTGATTGCTGAAGCTACAGGAACAGTTTGGAGTAAAGTCTGCTGAGGATCTGGCTAGGAGCCAGGGGCGGACTGACCACTGGGAAACTCGGGCACTGCCCGAGGGCCCGGGGTCAGTAGGGGGCCCCATGAGATGCCCCTGGTACCTTTTTCATAGGCTTTTTTGAGTTTGGGCAAGGACACAGGGGCCCCATGATCCCCTATTGCCCGGGGGCCCCATGAGTTATCAGTCCGCCCCTGCTAGGAGCTCTAGTAGAAAGTGAGCCCAGTCCAAGTTGCACTACTTCTGGAGTATCCCAAGGCTCACCCCATTCCTCATCCCAGTTCTTCAACCAATAAAAAAAAAAAAAAAGGATCTTCTGCCTGGTTATTGAGTGGAAAGATTGACAAACTGCTGTATGCCTGGCCGCTGTGCACCCTTTAGCGAATAGAACTTGGAACGAACAGCGAGACCAGCTTGGGGTCTGCACTACATCTTTATTAAAAGTATGCTCACTAGTCTTTCTTTTCACTAGAAAAGAAAATCCTAACACTGACGTACAAAGCTTTCCACCATACTGCCCCGAACTACATCACTGACCTAATATCCAAGTACCGCCCAGCACGCACACTCCGCTCCTCACAAGACCTCCTTCTCTCTAGTTCCCTGGTCTCCTCCTCCCATGCCCGCCTCCAGGACTTCTCCAGGGTGTCACCCATCCTCTGGAACTCCCTGCTCCAACCCATCAGATTATCACCTACTCTCCTCTCCTTTAGGCGCACCCTGAAAACCTATCTCTTCAGGGAAGCCTACCCCACCCCCTGCTAACCTTCCTACCACAGCTACCACTCCATCCCCCACAGCTATCTCCTCCTGTACCACCATCCCCTCCCTCCTAGATTGTAAGCTCGAAAGAGCAGGGCCCTCGATCCCCTCATGTTTTGCATTGTATTGGTATTGTTCTGTCACATGTTCTGTCCCCCTTTGTAATGTACAGCGCTGAGCGAACTATTGGCTTTTATAAATACTGTATAATAAGAAGAAGAATAATAAATAGTCTTCTTCAGGGAGCCTTTGCCAATGAGTCCTTTGAGAAAGTCACAGGTATTTTGTGAACTCAATGAGTTTCAGTTCTCAGGTGGAACTGACCTATAAAATAGGCACATCAATGCACATCAACAAACGTTTGATTCATAGCATCCTCCCTGTAAGTCACTGAATGTGTTTTCATCATGTTTTTCTGTCAATGTGTATTTTTGTCAGATTCAGCTGAGCCAAGCTGCTTGCACCAAACAACTTGCGTAAAATACAGTTTGTTAGGCCTCCAAACATATTGACTGTGATTGCTTAGTTCAAGCTTTTCCACCCTACTGTACAGCACATTGTCAAGTGACAGCCGTGAAAATAACAGACGCTATTATTATGAGAGTTAAGGCTCTGCCATCTGCCGTGTATTAGCCTATGCCATGCACCAAATGGTCCTATACGAAGCCAGAATCGACTCATAAATACTGATCTGTTTGAAGTAATACTATTAGCATGATGGCTTTATTGTATATAAAGGTTTCAGAAGTCAGCAACAGAGTCGGGTGAGTGAGAAATAGAACTTAGAGGGGATGATTGTAGTAGAATTGAAAGAAAATACATAGGAACACATACAAATGACTTTAGTTTTTGTAGACATCAAGAGAGCATGGAAATCAGGACAAAATCACCAAATTATATCATACAAGGTTACTATCGCCTAGTACTTTTGGTTCAATACCTGCTGATCTAATAGAGAAGCTCTGTAGCTGTTATAAAAGTGCCCAGTCTGCAACTTCATACATTTACAGTTGTGTGCAAAAGTTTTCCTCCCCTGGCAGAAATCGTGAAATTTTGGCGTTGATATTGAAAATATGACTGGTCATGTCAAAACACGTTTATGTAAGGATAGTGTTCATATGAAGCCATTTATTATCAAATAGTTGTTTGGCTCTTTTTTAAATCATAATGAGAACAAAAATCAGCCAAGTGGCCCGGATCAAAAGTTTCCATTCCTTGGTGGGTCTTGGTACAGACCCACAAGGTGGCACACACACGGGTCAAAATGGCAATTAAAAGTTAATTTCCCACATCTATGGCTTTAAAACTGCGATTAGGGTTATAAATGTGTATAGTTAATGGGTTTGTTAGCTCTCACATGGATGCACTGAGCAGGTTAGATCAGGGGCGGACTGACAACTCATGGGGCCCCCGGGCAATAGGGGATCATGGGGCCCCTGTGTCCTTGCCCAAACTCAAAAAAGCCTATGAAAAAGGTACCAGGGGCATCTCATGGGGCCCCCTACTGACCCCAGGGCCCTTGGGCAGTGCCCGAGTTTCCAAATGGTCAGTCCGCCCCTGGGCTAGATACTGAGCCATGGGGAGCAGAAAAGAACTGCGTAACAAGGTAATGGAATATTATAAAGATAGACAAGGATATCCAAAGCCTTGAATATGCCAGTCAGTACTGTTCAATCACTTATTAAAAAAATGGAACATTTTGGGATCTCTTGATACCAAGCCAAGGTCAGGTAGACCAAGAAAGATTGCATCCACAACTGCCAGAAGAATTGTTTGGGTCACAAAGAAAAACTCACAGGTGACTTCAGGAGAAATACAGGCTGCTCTGGAAAAAGACAGTATGGTTGTTTCAAGGAACACAATACGATGATACTTGAACAGAAATGAGCTGCATGGCCGAGTTTCCAGAAAGTAGCCTTTATTGCACTAATGCCGCAAAAAAAACCTGGTGAGGTGTGCAAGGTGTTGTCAGGCATTTTGTAACCGGGCTTTTCAAAGAAAAGGCAGTAGGTCCAACCAAACAATGGGCATGGCCAAATTGCACACTGGAAGGAGCTTAAAAATAAAATTTAAAACAACAATTGAGCCTACTCACCGTATGCACAGTCTACACATGCCACAGTCCTTGTACCCAGAAATATGCTTTAATTATCATGTCACAAGTGAGTGTCTCACAGACACACATAAACATCAGCTCAAGCAATAAAAAAAATGAAAACTCTTCCATTACAGATAGAGATGAGAAAATAAACACTTTGGCCTAGAGCAGGGGTGGGCAACTGTGGCCCTACAGCTGTTGTAGAACTACAAGTCCCATGAGGCATTGCAAAACTTACAGTTACAAGCATGACTCCCAAAGGCAGAGGCATGATGGGACTTTTAGTTCACCAACAGCTGGAGGGCCACAGTTGCCCACCCCTGGCCTAGAGTATGTAATGTGAGATAGGGCAGCACAGTGGCTAAGTGGTTAGCACTTCCCCCTGGCAGTACTAGGGTCCTTGGTTCAAATCCCAACCACAGCACCACCTGCCTGGAGTTTGCATGTTCTCTCCTGTGCCTGCGTGGGTTTTCTCCGGGTACTCCGGTTTCCTCCCACACTCCAAAGACATGCTGGTAAGTTAATTGGATCTTGTCTAAATTGGCCCTAGTATTTGAATGTAAGTTAGGGACCTTAGATTGTACGCCCCTTGAGGGTTAGGGACTGATGTGAATGTACAATATATATGTAAAGCACTGTGTAAATTGATGGCGCTATAGAAGTACCTAAAATAAATAACATTTCCTCTCTATTCCTGATCAGATGCAACTCAACATTATGGATTTTCCTTCACTTTCACTTTCACTTACATTTAGGGTAAAGTAAAAAAGGGTTATATCCCTGTCAGTTTTTCTTGCCATCTGTGCCCCAATTGGGGAGATTTCCCTTCACTTCCTGCCCCATAGCCACAACAGGAAGTGAGAGAAAAACCTTCACAAGTATGAGAATCCCTGGTTGTCACCAGAACTAGTGTCCCCATATGAAGTTTTCCCCTCTACTTCTGTTCTGGTCACAATTCAAAATTTAGGATTTTCTTTCACTTTCACTCTCAGTGATAGCGGCAAACAGGACAAATAGAGAGGATGTATTTCCATACCATAGACAGCACTAAAACCCTGACACAGCTAGTTATACTTTCAAAAGTTCACAATTAGGCTCTATGCACACTGGCCTTACAAACGCGTTTCGCCTGTAGAAGCAACTAATGTTACCCTATGTGTCCATGCACATTAGGTAGTCTGGAGGAGATTTTTAAGCTGGACATTTTGAGGCACAAAAAACCCTTCTGTTTTGCATTTTTGAGAGTGTTTTGCTGGCAGGAAAAAATGCTAAATGCTCCTAAATGCTACTAAACGCTCCTAAACCCTAGTATAAAAACACTCGGAATTAGCTTTTTTCTGCCAAGAATACTGGCCTTTTTTTAAGCCACTGTGCATGGAGCCTTAAAGCTGATCTCCTGGCACAATTTTTTCTTTTTAAATACTCCTCAATCATGAAAAAGGATAAAAATCCACTTTGTGTATACCAAACGCCTTTGCAAACCCAGTTATTGCCTTATAAAAGTAGCAGTGACATCCTTACTGTGCTGTACATAGCCTGTGCAGAGAGCAGAGCTGTGGGAGGGGTCCAGCAGGCTCCGCGTACTACTGGCTGCCTGCAGAAAACTACAGGAGGGGCATGTAAACAGGGTCCATATTAGGTACCTTCCTTGGAAGTAACCACTTTGTATAATGCACTAGCATCCTTCATATAAGTCCTTGCAGATTTGTTGCACAAACAGATACAGCAGTCATTGGCACAGATACAGTATAGTGCAAACAGGGCTGCTGTTGGAAACCACGGGGCCCCTTACCGCCAACCTGACAGGAACCTCCCCCCCCCCAAAAAAAAATACAGTTTACTATGCTTCAGTTATGAATGAACACGGTGAGTGATTTGTTCTGATCGTTCATTGTGTTCATTATAGTTCATTGTTATACAGGTTGACTACCATGCACAGCTGCACCAGATTTTGCACTCTCCAGTTCGAAAAAAATCAACCCCGATGTGTTCGCAGACCCACTGCTTTGAGTACATAATTGTCCCCAGTTGGCCTTGGTTTATACCCCCCCCCCCTGGAGCCGCTCTTCCTCAATTCACCTCTAGCCAGGGGTGGACTGACAACTCATGGGGCCCCCAGGCAATAGGGGATCATGGTTCCCCTGTGTCCTTGCCCAAACTCAACAAAGCCTATAAAAAAAAAGGTACCAGGGGCATCTCATGGGGCCCCCTACTGACCCCGGGCCCTCGGGCAGTGCCCTAGTTTCCAAATGGTCAGTCCGCCCCTGCCTCTAGCCACCCCCCATTTTTATTCTTTCTCTTTCTCTGCATATTCCTCTTGCCCTTCTCTGCCTCCCTCTTCTTTGTTCTCACTTCTCCTTGCTTCATATCACTTGAAGAGTGGGGAAAACAGTAGCTTACATACCTTAATATCTCACATGCACATGAAGTCTCCACCACACTCTTGTAGGTAATCTTGCCAACTGCTAATCATTGGTTATCGTATAAGGTTGACATCCCTTTAATATAGTTCAATGTTATACATGTAATTGATGTATACCAGGGGCAGACTGACAACTCTTGGGGCCCCCGGGCAATAGGGGATCATGGGGCCCCTGTGTCCTTGCCCAAACTCAAAAAAGCCTATGAAAAAGGTACCAGGGGCATCTCATGGGGCCCCCTACTGACCCCGGGCCCTCGGGCAGTGCCCGAGTTTCCAAATGGTCAGTCCGCCCCTGATGTATACGTATATTGGCATGACTATGCAGCTGCACCTGAGAATCCCTGTTTTGTGACCATGTCTGGATGCCTCTCCTTTCCTTAACTAAAGATTTTTAAAAAAATAGGTAGGTTCCATTATCTGAAAGGTTCCCTAACCCAAGATGGCTGCCAAAGCCTCTCGAGAGTTCAGTGTTAAATCAGAAAGACTTCTCCTCTTGAGGCACTGTATGAAATCCCTAAGGGATCAATTCCCTTATGGGATCACAATTCCCCTTTCCATTCAATAGTGGTATGGACCTACTAACAGGTAGGATGGGTAACTGCACCTACCTACAGGTAGCTAGAAGACCAGTCAGCTTGCACAAGGAGAGAGAGCAGCAGTGACCGGTCTTTATTACAGGAAGCTCCTGCACTGAGGGAAATCTCACACTAGATCACTGCACAGATCTGGAAGAACTACACAAAGCCCACCAAGACACAAGGAAGAATGCACATGATGAATGGATTTAAACAATATTGTTTATCCTGGAGATCATTTTTAATAGAGGCCGAAGATTTGATCATGGCTATGGTTTTGGTGGCACAGGTCACAGACCCTCTATAGAGCCTACAAGGAGGTCTTTACCCCTAAAGAAGAGTGCTCAGTGGGGTCTGAGTAGAGATTGTTCCACCCTTCAGGCAGCAGAGACACACCAAGTCCTCTAAGCCTCCAGAAGGAGGAACCTTGGCTTCTCTGTCTCTGTATGATTCATAGTCTATCCACGGTACACCCAATGCAGATCTGTTTAGTCTGGCATTTAGCTCTGGAGTGCGAGCTGCTGAGTCCCCTTTGTGCCAAGTATCCTGCAGGAGCGACACACACTGATAAATTACTGAACATAATGAGCCATATTCATCATGGCCTAACTGGAGCATTTCTAGAGTGAAGTGATTGTTCTATATTTATCTTAGGGAAAAGAAAAGTATCACAAAATCAACTGAACACCCAAGATTTGTGTACACAGATTCCAGCTTTGTGGGCAATACGATATTTGGTAAAAATGACGGTGTCTGCTGCATTGACAGTGACCGATAATATTTAATAAAGGTCCTGCAATGGGAAGTGGTTTGTAGGAAACAAAATCAATCTTCACCAGGCCTGTTATATACTTTGGATGTATTTAAAGTGGAATTAAAGTCTAACATTTACTATTCCTAAAAATGTTCCCCCCCTCCCCCCTTCAACTTATCCTGTATACCCTGTTTAAAAAAAAAAGGTGTATACTTACCTTTCCTGGGTCTGCTCTGGGCCAGTCACATAGTCTTGCAGCTCCAGCTCTCCTGTGTGTGCGAGCGGCTGCTGCAGAAGATAGGAGGGAATGCCAATAATAATTGGGCCATGGGAGCCTTTGGGTAACATCACAGCTCTGGAATTCACAGCTGTTGTCAAGCGCTCTAGGACACAGGGAAGCCAGAGCTGCAGGATCATGTGACCAGTACAGAGTGGGCTAAAAAAAAAATAAGTATACAGATTTGTATGATTGCTGTGACTGCTGTGGTCTGGGAGAGTTCAACAATGGCTGGGAATGCTGGGAGTTGTGACATCACATATAGGCTCCCATAGCCCAGGTGTTGTCATCACTCCCTCCTATCCCCTTCAGCTTACTGACACAGGGAAGCTGGTGCTGCAGGATCAAATAACTGGCCCAGAGCAGGCTAAAAAGAGGCAAGTATATAGATTTGTATACAGG